TGGTGGTATTCCTCGTCCCCGATCACAACCTGCAGGGACAAGGAGACACGGTTTATGGTTCCCGAGGCGACTGCGGGGTCATTCCCGACTCGTACCCACGCTGCGTGACCTCGTCACCCACGCAACCCCGCATTAAGGAAAAGGGCTGCTCTTGATTCTAAGCCCTTGCCGTGAGGAGTCAATGAGTTCATTGCTGGCACGGGGTGCTTTTTAAGCTTTGGCGGTGGATGTGGTCTCCACGGTGCCCGCGTCCACCGCCTCACTGTGACGCACAGATTGAAAGTGGAGAACGGCCTGGGTGGTGGAGGGTCTACAGCGACCACTCCCTGCCGGGACTTATTCTGGGTTCTGTCTCCCAACCCATCCATTCCCCTGCCCCAGAGCCGCTACGTCAGGCGCCAGTGGACAGGGAATAGGGTCCGGGGTGTCCACGCCTCCCCGCTGGACACCCACCCTTTGGGCTCGTTCTCTCGCGTCCTTGTCACCGCCATACGCCTGCCCTCTAGTGCGCTTGCGCCAGGGGAGGTGAGGGACTAGGGACGCCGTGGCCGGCCTTGGCCGCGCCTTTGCTCCCCACCTCCGACAAGGGCCTTCCTGGCCTTGCCAAGGAAAGAGACCTGGGTGTTGGCGGCCACCCCTGTGGCAGAGACGCACCTGGAAGCCTTTTTCTTCGGCAATGATGAGCATATCGAAGGACTCCCCACGCTGGAAGGAAGGGCCAAAGCCGAGCTCCTCTAAGCCCCACTCGCCGCATTTCCAGGTGTTCATGACCACCGAGGATTCATCCAGCCGGGGGTTGAAATGCAGGACGATATCACTGTCTGGATCGTCACTGCACAGCAGGTTTATGTAGAACCTGTTAGGTGGCGGATGGGAGGGGGCGTCAGAGAAAGGACTTACCGATTGCCGAAGCACATCCAAGTCCACAGGGACCTGAGAGCCACACGCCAGTGAAGGAGGGGGAGGGGTGGTGGACTGGAGGCCAAGGAGCCCAGGTTCCAGGACATCCAGAAACCAACTGGGGACCTGGACACACATCTACCCAGGCAAGGGTCACTGTACTACAGCCTGGGTCCCCCGCATTTCCAGAGTCTGGGAGTTGCCGAGGAGTCATGGTCCTGAGACAGGGGTGCCTCCGATCCCCCAATTCCCAGAGGGCCGGGAGCAATACCAGGGACCCCAGTATTCCCAGGCATCGTAGATTCCCAGAAATCCTGAAGCTCCCAACCCAGGAAGTCATAGGTTTGATTGCTGAGGCCTCCCAGGTGCCCAGGGCACCTCTGACTCACAGGCTGTGTTTCCACAGTTGCTTCAGACTCAGACTGGAAATCTTACTATAAGTAAGAGCCTTGGATTGCCCTGGAACTCCCAGATTCTTAGAAGGTTGTAGGGACCCCAGGTACACTGTCCTGGGACAAATGAGTAAAGACATCAGATTCCAGAAGGTGGGAAATAGCTTGGAGATTCCAAGATCCTGGTGGGCAAAAGTGGCCTGGGGCTTGTTCTCTGGGCTGTGAGAAGTGGGGTCAGCTGAGCCTGGAGACCTCCCACCCCTTACCGCAGAGGCTTGGAGGTCTCACCTTTTAGCATCTTCGGGGACAACACCACGAATTCTCAACACAGTGCCAACTTCAAAGCCGTTGGCCAGCGAGATCTTGTGGGGCAACGTCTGCAGCAGCAGGGGTGCGGGGGCCAAAGTGGATCAGGGAGGCAGAGGAGAGAGACACATGGGTCAGTGCCGGGGAGAACATGACCAGGACCCAGGCCAACAGAATCAGAGAGCAGAAAGGGCACAGAGGCAAAGGAAAGAGAGCCAGGCGTAGGGAAAGGGTTGGAGAGAGGAACACAAAGAATCAACAGGAAGATATTCAGAGAGGTAGAAAGTAAGGGGGAAACACCAAGGGGGAGATGGGAGCGTGGGATGGATTGGGTCAACCCAGAAACAACAGCTCAGAACGTCATAGCACCCCCGAACACCCGTTTTCTCCTTGACACAGGAGACCTCAGCCAGGCCCCAGCCCCTACCCCATTCCAGTGCAGCCTTGGGTCCAAAACCTCGCCACCTCCACACCCCTGGAGCACTCACATATACCGGTGGCATGGCTGGAACAGCGGACAGGCAGTGGTGGTGGTGGGTATGGCTGCTGGGACCTTAAGTAGAAGCAGGGCGTGGCTGGCCCTGGTGACTCACCGTCACCCCTTTCCACACCCACCACCCACACCTGGCACAGACCCTGGCCCTGGGGCCATGCTGGCCAGCACCCTCCTTCTAGGGCCTCTGACACCTCTGCAGTCCCTGAGGATTCCCAGGTCCCTCTCCTCTGGGCTAATAATGATAGGAACAGTTAACAATAATAATAATAATAACACTATAGGGATTCCCTGGCGGCACAGTGGTTAAGAATCCACCTGCCAGGGGAGAGGACACAGGTTCGATCCCTGGTCCAGGAAGATCCCACATGTCTCAGAGCAACTAAGCTCATGCACCACAACTACTGAGCCTGCGCTCTAGAGCCTGCAAGCCACAACTACTGAGCCCGCGTGCCACGGCTACTGAGCCCGTGTGCCACAACTATTGAAGCCCGCGGGCCTACAGCCTGTGCTCTGCAACAAGAGAAGCCACCGCAGTGAGAAACCCGTGCACGGCAACGAAGAGTAGCCCCCTCTCGACACAGCTAGAGAAAGCCTGTGTGCAGCAACGAAGACCCAACGCAGCCAAAAATAAATAAATAAATTTATTTATTAAAAAAAAAACAGCATCAGAGAAGGCTCATTGAGCCACCATCCCTCCAGCCCTAGCTTCCTGGTGCCTGGCGGAGAGAAAACACGCTCGTGCCCATTTCATCATGGAAAACTCGAGTCCTGAGAGGCTAAGCTGTGGGCTGCAACTCTGGACCCTCTCTCCCAGGTTAGGACCTGCTGACTAGGGCTAAGGATGTGTCTGCCCTGACATTCCAGTTTATGCTTCTGGAATATAATAATAACCATGGCAACAGCAATAATAATAGAAAAGGGAGCTCAGAGGGGCAGGGTATTTTGCCTGATGGTCAAGGCTGTCTCCTTGGCGCCTAGTGCAGTGCCTGGCACACATAAGTGCTCCGTAAATATGGGTGAAAGAAGGAATGAAAGATAACACAGCTGCCA